TTCCTGTGGGTTGGCTAGCCACCATGCTTCATGCTAACATTGCGCTAGTTTTTGACACATCTTCTTAACTGGTTAGCATGAAACAGCGAATGTCTGTGTGTTCATCTCATAGATGTTTGATGGTGCGTCCGCTTCAAGCTGCTTCTACTCTGTAAGGCAAGTTGTGACAAACCTGCCTGTTTGGGTAGATTAGCAACAAGGCGAATATCAGAAGGTCCCTTTAAGTTCCCTGGTGGCCCTGCACCTACGCATTTACTTTGTGTGTCCCCCCCCCCACGCCACAGTGCCTGCAGTTCGGCGAGGGCTCGGTGACAGGCGACATGTGCGAGGACCTGTGCGTGGTCGGCCTGGTCGAGTACAAGCGCTGCCTCTATTACGAGAACGGGAAGAAAGTGATCGAGGCGCGCTGGAGGGGAAGCCCCGTCATCCTCAAGTCCAAGCTGGAGAACTTCACCTCGTACGAGCCGCTGGGGATACTGGACTACCAGGTGAGGGCCGGCGGCTCCCAGGAGGGGACGGGGGGGGGGGGGCCCTCTGACTCACGGCGTTCTCTCCAACAGGACACAGGGGAGGAGCTCTCGCCGCTCGATGTGGGTTTCTACGCCACTCTGGAGGTAAGATGCACTGGAAGAAACCAAAAACCACAAGTGTGGCTTCCCTTTTATTTCTCCGTTTTAATCTCAGGTACGAAACTCTTTGGGGCTGGCTGAGGGTGACGAGGACGAAGACGAAGGAGGAGGGGGGGGTAACAACTCCCTGGCCAGGCTATGGGAGAAGAAGCTGAAGAGCAGAGATAGAAGTTACTCCCGAGCAGAGCTGGCTTCCCTCTGGTCTCTGCTGCAGCAGGAGGAGTACACCTTCCTCAGGTAAAGCCACCGCTAACTGCTACCCGCTAACCCCAGCCACAAACCGCAAGCCACTATCTGCTACCCGCTAAGCCCTAGCCACAAACCGCTAACCACTATCTGCTAACCCCTAGCCACAAACCGCTAACCACTATCTGCTACCTGCTAAGCCCTATCCACTAACCGCTAACCACTATCTGCTACCTGCTAAGCCCTAGCCACAAACCGCTAACCACTATCTGCTACCTGCTAAGCCCTAGCCAAAAACCGCTAACCAGTATCTGCTACCTGCTAAGCCCTAGCCACAAACCGCTAACCAGTATCTGCTACCTGCTAAGCCCTAGCCACAAACCGCTAACCAGTATCTGCTACCTGCTAACCCCTAGCCACAAACCGCTAACCAGTATCTGCTACCCGCTAACCCCTAGCCACTAACCACTATCTGCTACCTGCTAAGCCCTAGCCACAAACCGCTAACCACTATCTGCTACCTGCTAACCCCTAGCCACAAACCGCTAACCAGTATCTGCTACCTGCTTACCCCTAGCCACTAACCACTAACTGCTACCTGCTAAGCCCTAGCCACAAAC